ATAAGTAGCCCGACGCGGGGGTCGAACCCGCAACCTTTTGATCGCTTCTCTTAAATAAGAGTCAAACGCTCTACCGATTGAGCTAGCCAGGCTGCTCATCTGAAAGATAATATTGTGGTATCAATATGATATATTTGTTACCTCAAACACCATAATAAATAGCCCTAAATTAATACATATTATAACATACTATTCACTTAGATATCGATATTTCTACGTTCTGTAATTATTTAAATCATTCTATTATCGAAAGTATTGATGTTACTAAATCTATTAGAAACTAGCACAAAATCTACTTCGAAACTAATATACATTAAGATTGGCTCTATTTATCTACTTCTCAAGGATTGCATTCAAAGTATCTTCGTCAAACATATTACTTCCTGATTGCAAGGTCTTCGCTAACATTACCAATGATTTATCCGTGAAATCTGGCTTCTTTCTCAACTCATCTAAGTCATTACTAAAGCTTGAAGCCATCAACATTAAATATTCATTATTTAATTGATCTTTATCTTTAGATAATGTTTTCTTCACTTGATTGATATCGATATTGCTATTCTTGGAACTGCCACCGACACTTGTTAATTTACTAGTTGTAAGCTTTATATTGGATAACTTTTCATGTGTTTCATTAGTCAACGGTTCGGGACGTAACTGGTTTTGCTTATTTTGCGAACTAACATCACCCTCTTCATCAGAGGTAATATCGATATCATCTATGTTTATGCCTTTTATTTCTTTTATAGGCTTTGCTTCCTCAGTAGCATCATCCATAGATTCATCAGAAGATGATGATGATGACGATTCTGAATCAGACGAAAAATCTTCAGTTCTTCTCTTCTTTCTTCTTCTTCTATTACTTTTAGGATTTCCTATCTTCTCATTTTTTACTTGGGCAGCTGCCATACTTATATAATTGTCAAATATATTATGATATGCTAGTTCTTTATGTCTTTTAATCAGATGAATTTTTTTTTTATGTAATTGATGCGTACTGTACATAAGAGGCCAAAGTTGCAAATATTCATTTGGACGTATATAATGATATTCTATGACTTATATAACAGAGTTAATAATATAACCAGCTTACTGATATTTATTTCTTACTTTTCTTTGAAGACTCGCCAGTTTTTGAAGAAGACTTTCTTTTTTTTACCATCGAGGTCAAATCATTGACAGCAGGTTTCTCAGGCTTCTTTTTCACAATCGATGATAAGTCGTTTACAAGATTAGCCACTGGAGATTTATCATCGCCGTCGTCGCTAGGCGCACCTAAGATGCCCTTAATGATATTCATTTGCTCATTTTTGAGGTCTTCTGTTGGATCTCTTTCCAATTCCTGGTATCTCACTTCCAAGTCCTGCACCAAGTCATCATTGTCTTTCCTCTTAGCAGGATCCTTTTCCTTGCTATTTCTGTCCTTTACTGATTCAATTGCGAGCCTCATTTGTTCACAAGCCTTCGACCTCAGCTCTGGATCGTCGACGCAAAATTCCAACGCAAGCGATAATTTATAGTGTGATTCAGAGATCAATGACGAGTTTTCAGGATTGTAAAGCTTGAGCCTCAAGTCCAAACAATTCTGCAAATCAATGGCAGACTGGGCGAAGTTTTCGGCCTCCAAGGACACCTCACCTAATAAATCGTATGTTTCTGAAAGTTTCTTAGTCAAGATTATAAATTCGTTATCGGTCTCCTCGTTATCTTTCGACAAGTACGGACTCTTCAAGTTTTCACCTTGTTTCTGTACATTTTCAAGCTTTTTTTCAAACAATGAACGTGTTAAGTCCAAGATCTCCCATGCAACTTCAAAATCACTCTGTTCTTCTTCCTCTTGTGGCGCCTCCTCATCTTTATCTGCATCATTTCCAGATTCTCTTTCTTCTTCCTCCTCTTCTGCAGCTACACCGCTATTTTCGTCGTCTTCTTCTTCGGCCAATGGGGCATCATCGCAAAATTGAAAATTGCCATCGTCTTCCTGCTCTTCTTTCTCTTTACTTTCATCCTCTTTTTCTTCTTTTTCTTCATTAGTAGCAGTGCCACCAAATACCTCTGATTTCAAAACTGCACTCTGAAATAATGATTTCCCATACAACAATAATAAATCTGCGTCTTCTTCTCCATGCTCATTACTGTAGTTTTCGCAAGCTTCAGCGTACTTTTCTGATGCATCGTCAAATTCCTTAGCAGCATATAGCTTTGCTCCCTCAGCAACCAATTCATTTATCCCATCTGAGTATGCCATGTTCAATTCTGACCTATATTCCAACTTGTATCTCAGTATAACCTTCTTCTTTCTGACCATAGTTAACGCGTCGCTTATGGTTCCAGTCCATAACTTTTTTTGTGGAGTCATGTGACGTTGACCTTGCTATCATAGACAACCGTACCATCATAACAAAGTACGATGGATAGTATAGAGTAATCAGAACCTGTTTGCAGAACGTAATTGGGACGCTAATGAACACGGGTAGTTACAAGATAATATTTAATGACAACTAATAATGTCAAATCATCCGAATGATCAATATGATAAGCTAGAAAGGTCTAATGGGTCGAAGAATTCGTTGAGAAGGAAGCCTCCACCTAGTTTAGATATTGCCAAGGAAACTAAGAATAAACTAATTATACCTTTGGAATCGACACAATTCATGTCGCCACATTCTCCTGGGATGCCAGAAAGCAGGAGTGTGCCGGTGCCAATAGGAAATGGGCATCAACAGAAACTCAGCATTGACACCGACAATTATGCATACAACGAGGAAACTCTTCCTGTAGGAAGACAAAGTTTAATTGGAGGGGGAGTTTATGAAAGCGAATATGGAGGAGAATTTACAGATGAATCATTCATGTCGTTCGACAGCCCAAGACCGATGGGACCCAAGACATTACCGGGGTTTGAAGAGTATACGACCCCAGTGAAGCCGCCAAGATTGCCCCTCAGACCCCAGAATGAATTTGTGAGGCGTGAAAGTCAACCAAATCTACCATATCCGACTAATGATATTCAAATTGAACTTGATTTATCGGATGATGACGATAATCACAGCCAAAACGATAATTACAATTTCTTCTCGCCAGAATTGACCCCGTCAAGATTGCATTATTCATTCAATGAACGTAACAACCATCAATACACACCATCAAAGAACCAAACTACTCCACCAAACCATCGTACGTCAGAAATAATATCACAATCCTTGAACACTCCGACGAAAATACCGTCGTTGAACGAGTCAAACACATTAGGCATGCCAGTGCAGGGACTACAATCGAGACATGTTGATAGGGATAGCAGTTTTTCCGATAATTCAGGCCGTTCTAGTTCATCTTCGCCAAATTCTCGTAATTCAAAGTTCTCTATGAAGATGAATAGCATAGGTGGAACGAGTGCAAGTCCACCGAGACATTCATCACCCACAAGATCTTATACCATGATCATACCTGAAAGAAATTCACCAACGAATGGAAACTATATGGAAAGAGTATATTCTGAGAGGCGAAGTAGTAGGTCTCCATCCCCGAAAAAGGCCTATGGAAGGTCACCGTCACTAATTTATGACCATCAACCATTCAATAGTGAAGCTTATTATGATAACAATAATAGTCTTGAAGAATTGGAAAATAAGTTTGACAGTGAGCATTTAAGACAGAGACGATGGAACTCCTTGGATACTGGAGAGACGAAATCAGATATCAGTGATTACCAATACTACGATGACGAAGATCCATACAGTGATATGCCCGAGACCACGACTACTAATTATTTTGACTATTCTATTCTACCTGATTTGCCATCTACCAATACTTCAGCTGATGGACAACCTTCATCCCCATCTAAAAGAATAACTTTAAATTCCACTTTATCATTTCTTAAAAGAGATTCACAGCCAAATCTTCCTTCTCCAACCTCCACAATTAGGCGAAGAAAAGATGATGAATTACCACCTGTCCCGCTTGATTTACCACAATTACCATTCACATCTTCATCGTTAGCAATGCAACATTTTAATGCATGTAAAGATATTTGGTCCTTAAGTAATATTTTTGAATGGTGTTTGAAGTTGAAAACATGGTTACATGACCTGTTTATACCTAAAAGGGAATTTAAAAAGGCTTTAATAAAATTATTAGTGTTTTATAAAAGAGATATTCCTTTGGACATAATAGGGCAAAACGTCGATCAGATAATTTTTAGCCTTTTAGAAGCAAAAGCAATCTCATATGCTTATAATAATGACATTATAGATAACGATGAGGATGATAACGAGACGGCAAAAAAAAGAAATCACAAGGATGAACTTGGAGTCATAATAGATGCTAACATTAACGTTAATGGTGTATTACCAGATTTGACGAATTGCTACTGCCATGATGAAGACCATAAGTCTAATGTAAATAATAATGATCAGTCACGTAAATTGAAATGCTATTCTTCTCAATGCCATTTGAATCAGGTAATAGATCACGAAATTCAACTTCGAAATACTAATATAAATGAAATCGTACTTGGTGATGACTGGGCATCGCATTGGAGATTGACCGCTGAGGATTTAAGAAGATTTGACAAAACTGTTTCTAAACGTCAATCATTAATCTTCGATTTATTAAAGTATGAGCAAACATTCATACAAAGAGCAAAGTGTTTTGTTGATATTGTTGGACCTGATTTTATAAAGGCTGCTCAAATATTGATAGGTTCTCATGAAATTATCCTGATAAATAAATTTGAGGATGATGTACTTAAACCTGGAAAAGAATTGATTCAAATTCATGAGAAGAGTTTATTTGAACCTCTCTTACGTATATTGATATCAGATGGAAGATTTATCAAAGCTTTGGTTGATATTGCTGACATTTACTATAATTGGTCAAAAGTTGTTAAAAGTTCTTTATTAAAGTACATGAGTACAGTGCCGATGATTGAAGATTTATTGAAGAATGAGAGCATGAAAAGGTGGGTTGACGTAGAGGTAAGAAATATCCAAAGGGTAAAAGAATTGAAAGTAAACGGATCATTGCTATTTATGAGTACGTTCAACTCTCGTTACCAACAACTACCATTGCAACTTTCTGATATCAGGAAACTGTTTGATTCCCAAGAGCCGGAGTATGTCTCACTTACCAAATCTATTGATAGTATTAAGAGATTAGGTTCTAAAGTTAACGAAATGAAAGTACATGCCGACAACATTCATGCTTTGAAGAAAATTCATAAGCAATTAATTTGGAAGAACAATGTTAATCATGTCAATGCTAACTTGGGGTCTGAAAATAGAAGATTTTTTCATAGAGGTGACTTGACCAGAAAAGGAGATTTGAAAATCAATTCATCTACAAACCATCTAATTCTTTTGGATAACTTCTTATTTATCACTGAAAGGGTTAAGAATCCAAAAATGAGCCTGTCTAGCTATAAAATTGTTGAGAACCCAATTGCAATCGAGTTACTCGTGTTTGAAATAAAAGAGAAAGAGTCTATAGCGCCCACTTTAGAGTTGAAGCCGATCACAAAGTCATTGACTACTCTGTCTAATCCAGCTTCACCAGTTCATGCCCAAGAATTTTTGGATGGCGAGGTTGAGCCTGCGTCTTACCCATTTAAATTAAGGTTTGCTGGGCGTGGAAAACATAATGCCTTCACGTTTTCAACTAAAACTGAAAGAGAAAGAAAAGATTGGATCAACCATTTCTCCATGGCTAAAACCAACCTCTGTCGCAGGCTTCGAAAAACTGAGCCTTACAAACTTAAAACAGTGGCCAATACTTGTTTCGCATATGATATCAGCAATAAGATTTCTAAATTACAAGTATGTGCACCGTATGATCCAATTGAGGAAGCATCAACGGATGCTTTAAATAAGTTGAATGAACTTGGCTGCAAAGGTGATATTTATACTTTCAATAATGCAAGGAGTTATATTGTGTTTAGTAAGGCCCAAAGTATCACATCATTTGAGTATAGTAATACGAAGTTTTATCTAGTAGGACTTGCAACAGGTGTTTATTGTTGCGATATGCAGAATAGATGGAAAAAAGTTATTGGTGGAGCAGATATTACCAAGATCAAAGTAATAACGTCTATAAATTTGTTAATTGTACTAGGTGGTCGACACTTACGATGCTATTCGTTGGATCTGGTCGTGGGTGTGTATTATAATAAGAAGGAACATTTAAGCAGTATATCATTGTCAAATGAGCACGTATCGTTCTTCGCTGTCGGGAAGCATAGAGAGATTAATATGTTGTTTTATGCGAAAAAGAAAACTAACTCCTCAGGAACAACCAATTTCAAGGTTTTGATTCCTGAGACAGATAATGACGGTATGTTTAGTGCGTTTAAGGTCATAAAGAAGTTCTATGTTCAAGCGGAATGTTACGGCATAAGCATATTCAATACTTCATTCGCAGTGCACACCAACAAGGGGTTTGAAATTCTAGAACTTGATAAATTGCTCCCCAGATCTATTCCTGAGTTCCCTCATAACGAGTCTTCAGGTAAGAAAATAGATGGCTTCAGCAGAAGGTCAATTACTGGCGGAGTCTACAATTCAGGCGTAGACTTGGTAAAAAAGGCTGTTCATTCAACAAATGTCAGGCCAATGGGGATGTTCAAATTGAACAACAATACAGAATTCTTACTAGTCTACAACGATTGTGCTATTTTTACCAACAAACACGGCAAGCTATCACGGTATTCGATGCTCAAATTTGAGTTTAAGGCTAAGGCAATCGCGTTCATTAATAATCACTTATTCTTAGTCTGTGACGAAGTTATGGAAATATGGTCCATCAGTGACTTTGTGAACGGATCTAATAGGTTAATTCAAGTTGTAACAGGGAAAGATATGAATATGCTTAATAATGAAGATAGTGTATATTTTGCAATGGCCAATCCCAAGGTTCCTGGATTGCAATTACTATTCGAATTGCAGCCTAAAGAGGTTCTTTTATAGTACATACATAGTAATATATCGAGTTTTTATTCATTCTCACTCAGAACGCGAGCCGAGGTCCACTTTTTGTGGGGAAGCAAATGGATTTCACAGACTACATCTTTATATTTATTTCATATAGCGTACTTAATAATTAATTTTTCCTAAGGAGATAAATTAATTGTATTGGTAGCAAATATGGTTGAATATAATGTTAATGGAAAAGTAGCGGTGATTACTGGAGGTACTAGAGGATTAGGACTTTACTGTGCGGAAGCATTAGTAGCCAATGGTGCTAAGACAGTTGTTATTACATCACGGAAAGCAAAGGCTTGTGAAGAATCTAAGAAATACTTAGAAGACGTTGCAAAAAAGTCCAATGAATCATGTAAGATAATTGCCATTCCAGCGGACATCAGTGATGAAAAACAATGTAAGGAATTTTTTGAAAAAGTTTCGAGTCAAGTCGACCAAGTAGATATTTTAATAGCCAATGCAGGGGCTAGTTGGGGAGAACCTTTGGAATCACATCCCGTATCTGCTGTCAAAAAGGTCTTGGATTTAAATATTGTGGCAGTTTTCCACACCATTCAATTATTTACACCATTATTGGCCAAGTCTGGCACCAAGGAAGATCCATCGAGGATTTTGATTATGTCGTCCGTCGTTTCGCTTGTTGCTTCTGAGCCCGTAGGCACCTACGGTTACTTGGCTTCGAAGGCAGGTGTTTCTCACTTAGGTAAGAACTTGGCCTTACAATTGGCTTCTCTGAACATTACTGTTAACATGTTAGCCCCAGGATTTTTTCCAACGAAAATGTCCAATGGCTTGTTAGAAGCTTCTGGTGGTTTGTTAGAAGAAATCAATCCAATGAGACGATTAGGAGTTAAAGAAGATATTCAAAATGCTACATTATTCTTGTGTGCGAAACAGTCCAACTACATTAACGGGATCGTGTTACCAATCGATGGTGGTGCCCACTTAGCTGGAATGCCAGCCAAGTTCTGAAACACTTCCATTTCTCCCTTAGTTTAGACCCAATATATATAAATATGCCATCATAGACTTCTTCCCAATGATACAAGGCTTGTTCTTGGGCTGATAATTATTTACTCACGTGAATTTGACCATAAAAAAAAATCACAACGTATCAGCTAGAAGTAACAAAGCAAGTAGTTTATCAATAAACCAAGCCATAGGAGGTAACGTTCGAGTAGGATAAATATATACATCACTATTATTCAGAATGGGAGTAGCATCGTCAAAGATTTTGGAAAATCTCATGGAAGGTACAAACTTCGATAAAGAAGAAATAGAGAGATTAAGAAAGAGATTTATGAAATTAGATAAAGATGGATCAGGAACCATAGACAAGAACGAATTCTTGACCATACCGGGAATATCGTCAAATCCTTTAGCTGCAAGATTAATGGACGTATTTGATGAAGACGGAAACGGCACGATCGATTTTCAAGAATTTATAATGGGGTTATCAGCATTTAGTGGCAAGACATCTAAACTTGACAAATTGAAGTTTGCGTTCAAGATTTATGACATTGATAGAGATGGATATATTGGAAATGGAGAGCTTTTCATTGTTATGAAGATGATGGTGGGTAAAAATTTACAGGACGAAGAGTTGCAACAGATTGTCGATAAAACGATGATGGAAGCCGATGAAGATGGTGATGGACGGTTGAATTTTCATGAATTTAAGAATGCCGTCGACTCCAAATCGGTGGCGAATGCTTTAACCCTTAATATGATTTAGGATATCCGTACTTTTTTTTCATTCCTATTAATATGAGTAAAGACTTATCTCTATGATGCAAAACGTCATTTTTTGGTTTGGCCTGATATCTCTATCATCCCAAGTAATGTATAGTATATGATCATGAATTACATTAATTAAATTGTCGTAGGTTAAAAAAGGTCTTTGATAGTATAAAGTAGTTTTGTGTCACATCGAGTGACGTATTGATAAGGCTTTATCGTTCGTCTTTTATCACTCCAGAACATCTACAGTCAAACAACTTGATGCATTGGGAAGCATATAATTCAAAATATGACCGATAGTCTACCCAAAGTCAATACATTTGAGTCCATTAATTTAGGTTCCACTATAGGGAGAGCTAAAAAGAGCTACGATTCGATGGCTATTAACAACAGAGTACCGGAATCCGTTTCAGCTACATCTGATGATGATGAATTAGACCCCGAAGAATTTCTATCTCAGAACCTGCCTGAGGCATTAAGAAAAGAAGGAAATATTCCAAGTGATAATTTTGAGGATTTAGACAAGTTGGGTATTTTAAATTCTACAACTATTCTTGGGGATAGAGATACAAATAGGTATGTGGATCAAATAAACAATAGCAACACTATTTCTCCTGTAACAGAAATTGCACCACAGATTGGGATCGATAGCACTTCAAGTCTTGCAGACTCTAAGGCTTTGAACAGCTTACAGTTTCTGAGCCAAAATCCTTTCGATATGGCAAAATCTAATTCGGTTTATTTCCCGAAGTTAACTTCAGCGAAATCAGGGGAAAAGGCGTCTCTTATAAAATCTTTGCAGGAAACTAATAAAACTCTTCAAAATGAATTACACGGGAGTATTAAGCTACAGAAGAAATTGCTAGATAATGGTGAAGATACAAGCAGAGTGAGAAGCTCCATATCACGTAATTTTAAACGACTTTCGGAAAACTTTTACTCTTTAAATGAACTATACTCACAGGAAGTTAGTTATAATGAATCATTGCATGAAAGCTTTAAAAGGTGGGACAAGAGACGTGAGAAGATATTGAACAAGATTTCATTAATTAAGAGTAACAAGAACAAACATGGATCGAAACTAGAGAAATTACTAGGTGAATCTGATATCATAGATAACGAGATTTTAGATCTTGAGAGGAAACTTACAGGCTTAAAATCGAAGAAGAAACTCATAAATGCTGAAATCGAAGACACTAGTTCAGTTTTAGAAAGTCGAACTTCGAAATACGTAGAGACGTTTAGAAACATAGAAAGGCAAGGGTTTGAAGCTTTGAATGAATTTCTCAATGTAAATAATATGCCATCTAGTGAGTTGCACAATTTTGTGAAGTATGTTCCTGTTGATGTAACCTTCTTAAATAACTATCAACAAAGCCTGAAGAATGACATAAACGAACAGTCGAGTGAGAATACTCCCTCAAGAGTAAAAGATGCTCATAAGAACGAAAGTTCTAACGATAAGAAGGGTGCCGAATCTATTGGTATGCAACCATTCATTGCCCCTGAATTATCGAATGATAAGAGTGATAATTCTCTTGCCAATCACGGCCACGGGCTTACTCCGTTCGAAGAGGGCTTTGAAAAAGGATCTAAAGTTTCATATACCGTTCGCAATCACTTGAATAATTTTATAAAATCATTAGTTTCCAATCCGTCGATTACAAATGAAGTATTACCTTCAGCAAGACAAATTGATGATATTTCTAATACCATAAATCTGAAAATAGATTTGGCATCTATATTGGAACTTTTAGATATTAAAGAGGAAAGCTCACAAGAAACCTTACGTTATACTTCCAAGCAGGCTACGTTGTATCATGAATATGGAAATGTATGGGACATGGTTGTGGATCTTATTAAAAGCCAAGAAAGTAAATTGCTTTCTCAGTTATCGGAAAGCTCTCTTTCGAAAGATGCATTGGACAAAAATATAATATCTATCATGAATTCCACTATAGAAAAGATCAAGTCTTTAGTTTCATCGCTGATAACCCATTCTTTTATTCTCAATTCAAACCCTTCAGCTAATGCGTTATTTAAAAGTATCATTCATGAAGTCAAAGCAATCTGTTCTGCTTTGGCTGTAGCTTCTGGTGACGATGGCCATTTAGAAAAAGTTAACGAATTCAAAGCTCTACTATCTACAGCGAAGCTGAACCCCAACAATATTAGTAGCAGCCAACTCCAAAGTAAAACTAACAGACGACTGTCAACATTAAATTCTGCCACGTTATACAAACCTATAAAAACCGTTCCCTTGACGGGAACCACAAGCATAAATTACCTTTCTTCGGGATCATCTAGTTTATCGTCTGATATGATTAAAGAAGAATCAGCTGGAAAATTCAATATAAGGGGGAATGATAATCAAGGAATATTTAATCCGAATTCCAAGATGGTTAAAGAAGAATAAATAATGTCTTTTTATCTAAAATAATGTGATGAAAGTGTATTATATATATATATATATTATTTATTTATGCATTATATTAACGACGGGGATTAGGCCTCTTTTTGTTAATAAATATACTAGACGTCTTCTTAGTAAATTTTGGTTTTGGAATAGTACCAGAGGAAGACGGAATATGTTGCTTGGAGAAATTGGATTGTCTATTATCTTTTGAGATATTTGTATCTTTATCATACATCTTAGTTCCATTGGATTCGAGAGGATTATAATTTTTATCAGAACTATTCGATGTTTGATCTCTATTTTGAATTGAACTCTCTTTCAGATAACTATTTTCATTATTTTCATTCGATAATTTAGGGGAATCAATTTTGGATGATTGAGCTTTAGAGCGCTTGGATGCATATTGCTCATCATTTTCATGCTCTCTTTTATTTTCAATCCTTTTTGGATTTGGTGCTGCAGGGATCAGCTTAAATGCTTTTTTCAAAAAACCAGGGTAAGCTTCACTGATGGCATCCCTTTCGGCAGCATCGTCTAATAGGCGCTTCCAAACATTGTTTCTCAGTAAAGATTTCTTATTACCAAGAATCCATAAGGAGGTACAAGCACGAGTCAAAGCAACATTCATACGACGGATGTCACTCAAGAAACCAACATTACCTGAATCACTTGCACGAACACATGACATGATTATAATCTCCTTCTCTTGACCTTGGAATCCATCAACAGTGTTAAAATCAATTTCTGAAAGTATAGAATGGCCATATTTTCTTTTAAATACATCCTTAAGGGTTCTAATTTGTTCCTTATACGGCGAAATGATACCTATTCTACCACTAAATTCTGTCAGAGGTAAAATTTCGATCAATTTATCGACCAACTCTAGAGCAACTTGAGCTTCTGCATAATTAAATAAAGAACGAGAGAGCTCATTCTGCTGATGCTTACCAACAATATCAAAAAACATGTATGGCGAAAGTGGATAATCTTGGTGCCATGGTCTAGAGTTTTTCGCAGCCATTCCGTCTCCATCATGTAAACGTGAAAAATAAAATTCAGAGCTTGGGAACTTTGAAATTTCTGGGTGCATACGATATTGAACGTCTAAAAGATAAACAGACTCAGGATACATCTTTTGCATTCTGACAAATAAACTCTGTTCATAATTAAAAGAAGCGGCGGCTTGCGACAAAACAGTAGGTGGCAATTGATTCGGATCACCTACCATAATGCACTTTTTACATCCGTATCTCAAGGGAATAATTGCAGATAATTCCACACACTGACATGCTTCATCGATAATTACCTGATCAAATTTCATCGACATATTCGCTAAGAAATCATGGGCAGAACCTGATAAAGTAGAGCAAATAATTTGTGAATTATTTAAAATTTTTGCTTGTAATTGACGCCTTTCAATTTCTTTAGTACGATATGCAATTGAAATTCGCTCTCTTTGTTCATCCAATTTCTTCGCCAATTCATTTCTTAATTTATTAGTATCTCGTAACTGTATTTCTAATTCCTTTATTTCTTCTTCCTTCAAGTTAGGCTTCCTCAATTCCTCTCTTAACCTGTCTCGCTCTGATATGCACTTAGTATGTTCCATTCTAATTTTTGGGTCACTAGTCGTATTAACAGACTGAGCTTGTAATTGCTTGTCAACTAATTCTTCCAAAGTCAAATCTCTCACCGCAGCATTTATAGCATCACTACGACCCAATCTTACAACACGGGGAGTTATGAATTCTCCCTTTGAAGTTTTAACACCTTTACGTAAACGCAACACTAATTCATCTACGGCCGCATTACTTGGTGCACAAATTAAAATTTTGGGTCCATTAGAGTCGACTTTACCATTTGTAAGAGAATTAGTATCAGATGGGCCCCTGGGAATTGCAATAGTACCTTCTTTTTGTTGATGTGGTATGGAGTATCCTACAATTCCAAGAATAGTTTTAGTTTTACCAGTACCTGGGGGACCTTGGATTAACGAAAATCCTTCACTATTATATGAGCCCATGATAGCTTTAGCCTGAGACCTGTTTACGTCATACAACGATAACATTCTATCAGCATCAGAATCATTAATGTCCATCGGCTTGTTTGGTCTCGATTGGAGAATTGAATCGCATAAGTCATAATATGGCAACCCCTTCAATGAAGAATACTCTCTTTCAATTGTAACCATTTGCATTACACGCATAGCTGTCATAAGTTTCTTAGGTGTGAGAATGCCCATCATAGATCCTTGGGGATATACTCTTAAAGTAATGTCACAATAATCAGCATTTGCAGACTTAATCTCTCTCACCTTAGCTAAACAGGTTGTAGTTTGAGGTGACTTCAAATACGTTGCTACCTTTTTCAAATTAGAAAATTGTTGGTCACTAGAATCTCCCAATACCAATAAATCAGAATCGCCTATCTTTCTATCATTAAGTTCACTCTTTTTTACGGATGCATAAACGTCAAAAAAACCATCACAGCTAGTTCTACTTCCAATCAAGAGTTCAAACGGCATTTCTTGACCTGTTTGCTTGGCAGACTGAATTCCTTGCCAACATTCAAGCATTAATAAGGGTTCTATCGTTTTAGTATATTCTTTTGCATCTGCATATACATCCTTAGTTTGCTTATAAATCTCACGTTCATCGGTAGGATAGTTACTAGTCGAATTATAGTTCCACCTAAGAATGGTGCTGTAAAGTGGCTTTAAATTAACATTCAATCTCATCCTCATATTTTCTTCTTCTTTCCGTTCCTGGTCTACTTTTCTGTTTCTATTTGCTTTAGTAACGGGTTTCCCATTTATATCAACTTCAACGACTTTTGGTCTTGATTTTTTCTTGTCAACAAATAAATCAGAAAGATCAACATCTTCATCGCCTTCTTCTTCAGATGATTCTGAGTCAACTCTTTTTCTTCTTAATGATTGTAACGAACGACCAACAGGTGTTGCCCTCTTGTTATTGAATCCTGCGGGCCTTGGTGCCGCCGGGGCAACACCCAAAGTTGGTGATAATGACGATAAAGGCTTGGTAAGAGAGGACCTTGAACTTTTTAATTCTTGTCTAATTGCTTCAAGGCCAACAGATTTGAATCCTTTTTGAGGAGGTGCTGGTGCAACAGGAGGTGCTGACGTCACAACACCGAATCTACCTAAGGTCTGTTGCTTAGGTTGTTTAACGTGAGTTTGATATTTATAGCTAGCTGGTTCTGGAGTGGAATCTGTTTCAGATGTAGTACGAGTCTCTTGAGGAACTTGCCTAGATTTAGTCTTTTGTTGCTCGGTTTCATTTACTATAAAATCAACCAAGTCGTCATCAAATTCTCGTGCTTTAGATAAAATTTGCAAACGTTGCTGATCAGTGAGTTTATTGTTGAATTTTTTTGCCTTTGCTCCATATTTTGCAAATGTAGAAATGAATTCCTTATCAATAGAATATCTAAGTTCTTTTGCTAAATCAAGTCCCTTAAACACCAAATTAACACAAGAATTCAATAAAGACGAATCTCCTAATCTTAACCAGACAATAGCATAGGTGAAGGTATTCATAAAGGCTCTAAATAAAGAATGCGATCTATCGCTAGTCTCATCCAGAATTGTGGAATGAATGATTCTGAATGAATCCAATAACAAATCACTTAAATCAAGGGTATCTCTTGTAAATTCGATTAATTCTTCCAAGTGATATTGGGATGCCCATACTAAAGTTTTCCGGTAGACCATAACAAGAAACAGCCAACATACATTCCATAGATTTTCCAAGTTTAACTTATTGTTTTCAGCATTGAAAGACGTAATGAGATAACCATTCAAAGGGTCCGAAAGAGCTTTAATGACGTCCATCAAAATTCTGATAATTTTCGGACATGGTTCAAATGCAGCCATCCTGGTTAGACTTTTTATATTCAGGTTAATGGCAATCAACGTATAATCTAAATTGAAATCAATCAAAGCTTGTATTGTTTCAAAACGTCCACCTACTCCAACGTCAAAGACTTGGTAGACAACGTCAAGAGCAGCTTGGTTTACATACGGAGAGAAAAGAGAAGACCAAAACCCGATCAGGATCGCTTCTTCTCTGCCGAATATCTCTTTTAAAGTAGATGGATCAGCTAAGCCTAATTTCCCAAGTATAGTTTCCCAATATTCCAATATCAGTGAAACGTTAGAATTGTGCTGATTACGGGCTTCATTAAAACTCTTATTAGCGGGATCTTCATTTTTTTTCGAATTAATTTTGATAACATTGCAGATAAATGTTAAAGATTTAAAAAGACCAATTCCTAAATTGACGTTGGTATGAATCTGTTTTCGAGATAAGCATTGCCATAAAATTGGAAACATATCAAAAGAAGTGGGGATTTTGTCATCCAAAAGGAGGATAGAATTTTGTGCCAAAGCCAAAATATCATACGAAGTGACTCTTAGAATTAATTCAACTGCTGAAACTTGTAACGATGATTTCTCAGTCGAAGCATCGAACGCCATATCAACCAAAACCTTTGACTGGTTCTCGATAGCCGCTCTAGCATCCCTTCTTTTAAGTAATTCTACAGAAAAGCCTTTATCACCTAGTTTAATTTCATTGTCATTTATAGCAAAACACTGTGATAGCAAAAAATAACCTTTCTGATAAAGGTCAATCGTTCTTTTTTCAGCCATTTCTAAATTGATAGGTCTCTTAACACTATTAGGCGATAGCATGAGCAAAAACATTCCTAGCCTGACGCATGCAGTTTGCTTTTGAGATCCACTTAAGGAATCGGATAAATTTTTCATCCATGCCAATGCTTCTTGAAGCCTAACATCGGTTATTGAATCTTGGTCACCATTATTTAAGCTGAACAAGTAGAAACTAAAGTGTGGATTTCCCAAGACAGTATCCAAGATATTTACAAAGGAATAAGGCGAACAATGGGACCAAAATTCGGTTTTGAGTGTAGAAAGAAATGTTCCTAAAACTTTCAATAAAATCGGGAGCGGTTCATCTAAAAACGACATGATATTATTGAAAAATACCCGAATCAATGAATATAGCCTTATGTTTGTATACTTGCTCATTGCCTCTATATCACTGGGTTTATTTATCTTGTTTAAAAATGCATCATTTTCGAAAAGGTCATATATCTTTAAGAAGTTTTGCCAAAACCGAATGCATGTATCATTAGAAAAGTACTTAGAATCTTGAATCTGATACAAATGAATACTAAATTCATCAACGATAATATTATCTAGCTTATCCGAAGAATATTTAGTAGATTGTTCTTTTAATGCATCTATCCATTCGTCTGCCCATTTTTTAGAGTCGTCCAATCCTTCAAACATTAAATAAATAGTACCGGGTAATAAATAGGCGGGAGATGGGAAATTATCAGTGTCACGTAGGTATTTAAGAATTTTGTAGAAACAATTTCTCGTGTCTTCGTGGTTCCTTAGAATATTCGGTCCCATCAAGCATTGAATGATAGCATTTGATATTCTAGGCGTAACTTTAGGTTCTTTATCAAGTTCAATTTCCGTCTTGAAAGGCATCATAACCTCCACAAGTCTCGCGATTTCCCACTCCAATATAATATTCAAAAACTGATTAACTTGTCTTATAGGAATATTTCTATTCGTTGCAAAATTGTCACGAAGAGTTGACTTCCCTCTATTAAAATACCATATACATTTTTCACACTGATCAAGACTACCAGCCATATTAGGCTTAAGCCATTGCAAGACATCGTTATCCAGAAAAGAAAATAGAATCATAGTATGAACAGCTACAGGATACATGTATGGATCGCAAAACCAATGACGTCCCGAACTATTGTCATTTAAATACTTAACACATCTTCGCAAGACAACTTCTTGAATCGAATTGTTTCCCGGTTCCTTATGTGTAATTAATATATCATTTACTAATTGATCGAATCCTTCTGGTTTACGGTCCGATGAGTGATTCAATTCTGGTTTTGACATTAGAACTTCAATCACGATTTATAAGTTATCAAGTGATCCTGTAAATTAGATTTTTCTCTAATCTAATTTGAACAGCCGATCTTATATTCTAGTTTAATCCTTTCCAGAATCACTCGTTCTTAGACTATACGAATAAGTATATATATAATATTGATCCATCAAAGAAAAAAATACCTACGCGTGTAGTAACCATGGAAATCTATCTATCCTGCACGGATTTTATTATACAGAATTCTCTATAGGAGTGCTACATCGATATCTAATTCTTTAGAGGCAGCTATCCAATCTTCTCCCGTGTCCCAGCATCTCGACATTATCTGAAGACTTTTCATTGCATTAACATTGCCCATTTCTGTAAGCTTTGTAAATCTATCATAGAATAGTTCTCTCATATTTGGATCTAAAGTTTCACAGGCAGCACAGAATAAACAGAATATAGAACAGATTTCTGCAGACGATTTTGATTCAATAGTTAAATCCAATATCAGACCAATTCCTTCAGCCAAGTCTTGTATTATTGGGGATTCACGGGGTACACGCAACACCCGACGGTATAAGTTAAGAAGGCCCATATCACAGAAGATTTTATTTGTAGCTCTAAGAATGTCGTATTGCTGCATTATGTTGCTTAAATTGGGAGGTGAGTCAGTCTTTTGGGATTCCTTTTTGCGCTGAATTTTGTAATCTATGATACTGTCGAGTTTTGCCTGACGTCTGGCTTCGCCAACTTCGTAAGCACTTGTAATGCTTTCTTTTACCTCTAAAGCTGCAGTAATAATAGTTATTGGTAGCGAGCTGCAATCGGCACCAGCCTGTTCTAAGTACGAATCCGCTTTTCTTATAAGCAATGCGATATCGGTTAGTTGAGGCAACACACGTATGTCAAATCCCAACAAATGGTCAATATCACTCTTTCTGTCAACTTCTACTGAATTGCTATTGAGATCAGTTAAGTTAGCTACAGATTCAATTGGCAGATAGTGGCCATTTTCAGACGTTAAATACTTATGAGAATTCTTAGTAGCAGATAATGCACCCATTACATCCACATAGATAAACCATCTCATCAAAAAAAACGCTATGTCACTTTCCTTGCCTCTTGATCTCTTGCTGGATGTAGAGGAAGGACTGCTTTTATCCGATTCTGGACTTTCGCAAGACAAAAAGCATTTTCTTGCCATAACTATTTGCCTAGCACCTAATGCATGTGTTCTATGTCTGTCAAAATCATTCGATTGAAAAGACTCATAACAAGAAAGCAATAAGACCGTAGCTAAAGTTCCGTCTGATGTCGCTTCATTCTTATCTTTCAATAGCTTTAACAATTCATTACATGATCTTGCTAATAATTGCTCGACAATTTCTTTGGGAATATTATCTGGTCCTAGAAGCAGCGACCTAATAGAAGCTGCAAATGCTAATAATGTGGTTAAAATAGATGGATACTCCATAGCCATTTGTGGTAAGAGTACTTTGAAAGGATTATCCGAATAAATGTACGATGGAGCCGGCACTAAGTTTTGAGACGCAACATTTACCCAAAAATGCATAAGATTACGATAAAAAGGCACCTCTATTAAAATTTCAGGCAAAGGAACAAGCAGTGGTGGAATAGATTCAAATAATTCAGAAGGTGTTAGGATCTTGTTGTCCTCATCTATGGAATCTCCAGAATTCATAAAATTCAGGTCAATACCAATATCGTGAAACAGTCTCTCGATGCTTTCTTCGTCATTTTCATCTTCTTCTATTTCCCGTATCTTCCTACTACTCCTACTACCAATATTATACGCAAACTGTCGGGATGAGTTTAGTGAAGATAAAAAATCGTTCAACAAATTTGATTTTTGTCTCTCTGGAAGATAGGCCTCTATTTTTGCCAAATCCTCTGAGTAATTATTAAATAATTCATCCTTCATTTCTATTCTTGACACAGGTCTGCTTGTCTTGGAATCTAAAATGTCAATGTTTAAATCACTTAATGGGCTCCATTGTGTTGGAGTATTGAGGACTTTGTCTGTAAGATTTGAATTCTCGTCCATATTCGAAAGCATAAAGTTATTTAAAATCTCTGAGTTTTTCAAATTAAGCTGATAGCCACCGTTAGAAATCCTTTCAAACTCATTTGATAAATTTTCTATACCTGTAGAAATCTCAGGAATGCTGTTAATAATAGAATTTAAATTATCTTCTCTTGGAGTTTCAATCTTAACTGATGTTTTATCAACGATGCTTTTAGGAGCGACATTCCCATTTGAATTTGACATGCTATAGTTATCATTATTTGCTGCTGTTAAGTCTTGATTGGGTGGACTGGCACTAAAGGTACTGAAATTTTGTTGCTGTGGAAAGGTGTTGAAATCGCTCAATATTGAATCTCCACTGGGTGTTGTAAATGCGGGTGGTGAATTGAAAACATTCATTAAATTTCCTGCTCTTGAAAGTTCTGCTTCTTCGAAATAGCCATTTGGTTTCGAATTTTTCTCGTAGAAGTCCTCTGGATTGGCCTTGTTTTGATTGGTCTTGTTTTCCAGGCAACCCTTAGCTCGAACTGTCGAATTTTTTCGTGAAGACGAATTTCTCCATTCACTATTAGAGGAAGAATTGATTTCACCTAAATTTGTTCCTTGGACAACAAATTGTATCTTATCATTTTCCTTCACTTGTTGAGAATTCAATTCCAGCTTGATTCTTTCAAATTTAGGGGTCTCATTCTCCATGCTTAGCTTGTTTAACTTCGTCCCATTCTTATATGGCCTTCCACCCCACGTTAACTTTATAGAGTAATCACATTTGTTATCTGTTTTAACACAATAGGAGCATTGAGGCTTCTTCTCGTCACACTTGATCTTGAGTCTTTTGCAATTATGGCACCCATTTCTTGATCTTTTGATCTTAGGCTTCTCCCCATATTCCGAGGACAGAGCCCTTTTTCTATTGCTTATTGTCATATTACACGTTATATGAGCAAATTATCATACGATCTAGCGAGTATTTCTGAACAGTTTATACCCAATACGGGTAACTGAATTAGATCCAATTTTTCAAAAAATGATAACGAGAAAATACGATCGCATAAAGATTCCTATTTAGGACATACATATTATTTTGAGTACTCTAGCACAATCTATACATACATATAAATACTAACTATATCAATAATCTCTTTTGTTTTTTGGAGAATCTCTGTCAAGCAAGCCTCCACGCAACTTCTCGGTATCTCTTTCAGTATATCTCTTACCAAATAAGATAGTAAGTAATCTTTCATATAAACGATAGAGGTACCCAGCTACGATAAGTAAACCTCCGATAATAGTAGCTAACCTTGATACAAATTGAATAAATGGAATTCTCTTTTCGGATATGACTAATTTTATTGGTTCGAATTCATACTTGAAGAAAATACCAGGAATACCATCAGCCCTGTTATAACGATTAATTTTATATACATTGTGTTGTTCAGTCAAGGAATATTGGTTTGTATCGATTATCATGCCTAATTTCTCATAAACAGTAGGAACAACTTTGGAGTAGTACTTGTACGCTTGTAGCTTTTGTTCCGTAACTTTACCAGTAAAGTCTAAGGGGTTGTTGATGAATGGATAGAAATCACCATACGAAAATTCCGAAATGACATGTGTGAAATTCAATGCTTCGTATGGAACGACCAGTCTTCCATCGGAATATCCAAAGCCTTTTCCAGTGATATGGAAGTCTCCTTTAACTTGGTTTACCGGTATGGAGCCAAAAATATGGCATGCGGGAGCTCCTTCATTCATATGGGCACCTGCTACTCTGAATTCGGCCCTCATTGTTTCTTGCATAACATGGTCTAAATCAGGTGTATCATGATCGCTATTCTTACTGTTTATTTCAAAGTGCTGAGGTAAAAAGAAATTGGTTCCTTCGAAATTCAATAATTCTCCCGCCAAAAATCTGTCGTCGGTGATGTCCATGACATTGGTATGAAGAAATTCACACGGCATTGCAACCAACATATCGATATTAAGAGATAAATCTGACTTTATTTTGTCGTCGATTGTAAATTGATGGTCCACATATCCACCAAGGAACCCTCCTATTTCTACCCAAAGAATCAATAATCCACAGATAATAGTGATTAACGTTGAAAATCCACCTCTCGACGATCTAACCGTATGCTCTGCATCGACTTTTGGAAAAGCATCGAAAGTTCGTACCTTAGTAGTAAAAGATTCCATTGAGAATATTATGAACGAATCTTGAAGATGATGCTAGGGTGCCGTTATCTTAAATGAACTAATCTTAACTAAGTATAAAACGTAAACTTTTCAATTCGTGTTCATTTTTCTGCGAGAAATTTAATGCGATTAAATCTCATCTCTACAATTAAAGAATCAAGTAGATAACGTCTCAATAACTTCAGCTAATAATGAATGATCATGGATACAGAACAATTGCTGGATGATAATGTGCCTGAAGAATTTTCTGATGATATTAGAATACAAGAATTGCAATCTTTAGAAGCGATATATTCTAACAAAACGGACATTGATTACAAAAATTTGACAGGATGTGCCACCATTCCTATACGGCTTGAAAAAGACATTGAAATCATCTTACATGATGAAAACTTACAAGCTTCAGATAAACAAGTAGAAATGAATGTGGGTACGGAAAATACAGATAGGCATATATGGAAAGATAAAATTAAAAACCTTCCTCCCATACAAGTTAAGTTCAGAGTGACAGAAAAATATCCTTTTGAAGAGCCACCTGAATTTGAAATTAATACGACAGTTTTATCAGATGGTGATGTGGCGTCTCTTTATTCAAGTTTGCATAAATTATGGGATGATTTTAAGGACCAAGTTCTATATGCACTGATTGATTACATACAAGAAAAAATTGATAACCATTTAGAAACACTAATTGGTTCACTGATAGATTGTGGAACTGATATCGAAAAGTATCGGAATTTTCAAGAATTCAATGTATCAGAAGTAAAATCTCAGTTTGATAATGAAACATTTACGTGTGATATTTGTCAAGATGATTTTAAAGGCGCAAATTGCTCTAAGTTTGATTCATGTGGTCACGTCTTCTGTAATGGTTGTCTTTATGACTATTTTTTATCGTTAATCAAAACGGGAGATATTGACAAGGTCCATTGTCCTCATTTTCAATGCACTAAGAAGTTTATTCAACTAAAAGAGAAGTACTTGAGATTGGACGGTATAAATATAGATACATTCAACTTCAATGAGTTTAAAGCTAACATCATGACTCCACCTATAACATTTGAGTTACTATCTAGAATATTGAATTTTAAAGATTCGGGTTCTGGCGCGGAAGCAATGGTCAAAAGGTATCAAGACCTATTCATAAAACAACAGTATGATCTTATTTCGAAATTGTTTCCTGCAAGGTTAGTTTCATGTCCTAGGGTTGGATGTCCAGAGCAAATATTTAGAGAAAATACAAGTGATCCCCTAGTGATATGCCGAAGGTGCAAATACGCATTTTGCAATGATTGCCATAAATCATGGCACGGTTCCTATTATAAATGTGTCAAGAAGAACAAGAGCCATATGTATTCTGATATTCCTATAGAGGAATTAGACTTGTGGCTAGAAAGTGAAGAAAACTCAAAGGATCGAATTAGATTGGGATATCTTTATGGTAAAGCTTTGATCCGTAAGATGGCTAACGAATATCTTATGGACAAGATGTTCAACGATATGTTGAATGATGAAAACCAAGGTTTGAGAAAATGCCCCACTTGCGAAATCATTATTCAAAGACTTGATGGCTGTAATAAAATGTGCTGCTCATCGTGCCGTACATTTTTTTGTAATTTATGTGGCTGCTATTTAGATTATTCTCGGCCATATGACCATTATAAAGATTTTGAAAGTCCTTGTTATGGTAGGCTATTCGAGGGTATGCCGGGTTTGGAAGAGGAATGATGATTTAAATAAAATCTTACGACATTTGTATAAAAAAAGAAATTAGTATAATAAATAAATATATTCTTCCTATTTATGTACTCTTTGGAATTATAGGGGGTCTCGAATACCTGTAACATTCTCTAGATAACCTTCTTCTTCGGAATTCATAAGTCGAATCCAGGTTGTCCACCCCATCTAATTTATCATATATCCAACCTTCTTTTTCATCCTCAGGGATTTGTAAGTAAGGATTGTTGATATTTCTTTCCCTGAAAAACTTTTTAGGCTCAGTGTCAATCGTCCATTTATTGGCATATCCCATATCAAATTTCCAATCGGGTGGAGGCAAGACTTTGGATAAATCATCAACTCCAAGAGGCCTTTTACCTGCTGCTCTCGCGTGGTTTTTAATGTCAAACATATTACTTGTATATCTATGAAAAGACCATTGATTATTCAGCATGTTCTTGTTCTGCAATTCGTACACTTCTACGATCCTTACCTCTGCAGAATCATCAATAATAATATCATGTCTTTCAAATCTCCCATCATTCTTTTCAATTTTCTTGGATTCTTTTTTCTGTCTTGCCTCTTTTGATAGCTTTGACTTCTTAATACTCATGATATATTTCTTACTATTTGGATGACAAATAACAAGTCCTGCCCACCCCGATTGAATAAAAATTAGTCTCCAAGGAATAAAACGTCCAAATACCAATACTATAGAGGTGGCAGCAATCACACCATAGAATATAAAAGTTGAAAGTCTTTCATCCTTAAATCCGGCAGTCTCGTACCAAAACTTCTCTGCAGCATTAATCCCATTAAGAACATCTGTAGTCAAATTTTGCAAGTCTCTCATGTTTATAAACAAGGCCATTTGTGATTTAACATGACGAGTTTTATCCTTCTTTTGAATATTTTCGTTTACATCACCGTCTTTTAGTTTTGAGGCTGGTACTGGCTTCTTGCTGAACATACCAGATACGTCAGAAGATTTTGAACTAACAGGTTGGAGAGAATCAGACTCTGAGCCAGACTCATGATCATAGTTATTGCCAATTAAATCTTCAATAACACTAGTGTCATTTGACTGGTTGAAAAAATCAAGTATAGATTGCCCTCTTTTTTTAACCTTTATCAATTCTGGTGTTTTCATGGGATGTCTATGGATATACGCTGGTAGCATTACCCCAAATATAAGGAAAATCATAGGATAAGCCAATATGAGATGTGGCCATAAGCAAATTGAGGTATACAATACCAAAAATGATAAAGTCTTAGTAGGCTTTCTCCAAGTGATAATGTGTATTACGCCGTATTGCAATACAAAAAATGAACTCATCTTTGAACTCAACCTCTTGAAATTAGATGAAAGTATCCTAATTGATAGATTGGGCTTCTTGAGTCTTTCAGGATCTGACATTCTCTTTTCAAGCATCTCTTTCTCCGGTCCCTCCGTTGGAATGGCATGTTTCAATAGCTTCTCCATGAATCTATCGACAAAATGAGAAGACTTGCTGTCGTCCATTTCCGATTCCAATTCTTTCAATTGGTTCAATTCATCTTCAGAGTATGGTAAACCATCAGTTTCGTCTACAGTTCTTCCTTGATTAATTCGATCAATTCCCAAACTGATAAGAGAAGCTGCTGTCCCTGCCGCAATTCCTTTATTCTTGCCTGAATTATTTCCAGCAATATCACTTGTTTTATCATACATCTTTGAAAGAACCGTCGAGGCCCTTTCTCGGTACTTGGAGTTATCCTTACCAACTTTGCCTGACATTATCAAGTATAGTTAGGTAAGTAGGATATAGTATAAAAATGATCAAAATAGTATCTTATACTGTGGGGACGGTGCGACAAAATATTGTAGCTTCACATGATTCTCGGTATAGCAAGAATTCCTGAGTTACACGATAATAACTTCATTTTATAGAAACATTTGAAATGTTATAAGATTGGTCTGCTTACCATTCTCTCTCTCTAATGGTTTATCAAGAGTGTATTTCGTACTTGTAGAGAAAGAAATAGCATGTGAACATATAGTAAATCACACTACCGAAAAAGTACAAAATAT